ATACACGATCCGCCTCTTCTCCGCACCACCGCGCTTCCGCAGCCGGATTGAATTCGGCAACCAACAATAACGTCACTGAAGCTTGTTCCTCATTCTCTAAGGTGAGATTTCAAGTTTTTCTTCTCAATTCCTTACCATGGCTGCACGTGGAAAAAGGGTGAAAAGCATGAAATTTTTTTTACTTAAGATGATGATTAGCTCGTGATGATTAAGGAACTTGATAACTAGTGAATTAAGGATGAATTCTAGGTTATTGAGCTTTTGTTCCTAGTAATTCTTAGTATGGAGAATTTTTATGGAAATATGAGGAAACTCTAGAATTGTGATGTAATTGAAAGAGAAAGTATGTGAATGGTGTTTGATGGTAGAAATAACGGATAAAATGAGCTAAGGTTAGCACGGGAACCATGAAGAAATAGGCGGAACTCTGTCGAAATTTAGTTTGAGACTTTGAGTTAAAACCGGTTTTCATGAGGAATAAGGAATTAAGATATGAAAAGTAAGTCGATTTGATAATCGGTGATGTATAGAAATCAAACACAATGAGAATTCACAGTTCTGGACTGAAACTGAAAATTATGCCCATGACTGAGGACGGTGCATAGTTTTAGTGCAAATTCTTGAGATAGGAAATAGTTTGGGATTGAATACCAAACATAAGGATTGTAGACCTTTCCGAAGTAAATTTTAATGTAATTATTGATCTTAGCTTGTGAATCTAACGATCGGAAATTTATGCAATAGGATCGATTAACGATCGAAGTCGGAAAGTATCAAGTGAGACAAAGGACGCATCGTTAGCGGAACTTTGGTAAGTATCAGTAGTTTTCTTGTCTACAACACGAGTAAATTTATTTCTCTATGTTGCTCAATCCAAGCATATATATTGTAGACTAAATGTATGCTAGAATGTGAAAGATGACTCATGAATGTTAGATACAATGTTATGCATGTATCTACAAGACTTAAGTAGTCGTAGAAGTTGATTCTGTAAAAAGTATGTATCGATGTTAAGTCAAGGTCAAGTTAAGAGAAAAAGTTAAACTTTAACGAAAAGTCAATCTCATGATAAACTGCTCAAAAATGTACAAATTCATAAGATTTAACTAAAGTTACCGTTTCAATGAGAAAATTGATAAACGGTAAGAGACCAAACATCCTCTTTGTACCAGCCTTTGAAAGGAAAGGTTATTATGAGACTATGAAAGAAATGAAACCGTGACTGAGTTGGATTGGTTAGCTACCCCACTCCTCACTGGTTATGCACGCTATGGTACAACAGGACATGACCCATAAGAAATCAATGACAAGAAAATGAAACACAGAAACCATTCCATATAAAAGTACGATATCTGTAAGGAAGAATGAGAAGAATGAGAAACACAAAATGAAAGTCGTTCAGAACGTAAAAATACAATATAATCGATTATAATGAGACGAAAGCTGAACAAAGTATGTAATGAAAGAAGAAGAACATAAACCATACATGTTCTAGTAGTACATAATGTATTATGATATATGACATGAATGCATATATGGGTATGCATAATTATTGCATCTGTTATGACCTATTGATACTTGCTGAGCGAAAGCTCATTAAGTTTGTTCGTGTTGTAGGAAGCTCGGGTAAGGCACCAACTCCCTAATACTTGTTGCTGGGCATGCAAAGAGGACGTAACAGCGGAGTGCGGGCAAGTGGGTTGTGGATGCAACAGGTGTTTTGGAAACACTACTGAACTTTATGTGTAAAAAGTAAATAGTATTTTATGAATATAGATGACTTATGTAACGACAGTTGAGTTTACGAGACAGTGAGGCTAGGCATATAGTAGCCTCTAGTCACAATGTATGATTAATATAATAAAATGCTAGCAAAATGCTACAACATTTAGAAGTATGAATGGTTGAAAACAGAATGTTAGCAAAATGCTACAACATTTAGACGCAAACAGAATGTTAGTAAAATGCTACAACATTTAGACGTATGAATGGTTGAAAACAGAATGGTAGCAAAATACTACAGCATTTAGACATATGAATGGTAAAAAAAATAAATTAGCCTGAATTTTTAGGAGGTTATAATTAGAAAGTAGTTGAGGTTAAGTAATGTTAAGTATGAACATAAGATGATAAAAAATTAAGGTCGTCACAGCATGTGTCGGCTAAGATGGCTCCAATCAGAGGAGTGAGATAGCAAGTTCCTTGCCATGTGGTAACATTTGTTGCTGCAGAGACATTTCCTTCATGTAGTCTTTCAATAAGATAATTAACAAGGTTTGTGGAAATGCCATAGAAGGCCAGACGTTCGCAGAAAAAAGTTCCTGCATTTTTAGGTAACAACTAGACTGTCATAAAAAAAAATAATAATAAAAATAAAAATAAAATTCTGGAGAGTAATGCAAAACTGCCAAACAAAAAGTGGTAAGAGATCTTAAATAATCTAAATAACATAGCATATCATATTTTTTAATAGTAAATATACTATTAATATTAATATTTACATTGGAGATAATCTTAACATTAACATTTGTATTAGAGATTGTCAAAATTATTAAAAAAATAATATAAATATACCATTTGTATACTATTACTAGCTTGCTCTTTACCAACCTGCGATTGGAGCTAGAGACGACCAACTATTTTTGTTGAAAAGGAAAAATGATGTGATAAATTATCAAAAATAATTTATCGGGTGAGCGTACAAAATGCACGTGGTTGAAATTAAAAGAAAAGTTTCAAATTCAACGCCGACTTTTCCAAATTCAAAGATTTTTATCTTTTGAATTTCCATTTAAGAGGATTTCAAAGTGAGAAATTTTCATCAAGAAAAACTACTTTTTGGATTCATGAATTTACCCTGGATTTTGATGAAAGGGGGTTGCAATTATTTGTTGCTCCCTTGTAAGCAAACGAGACGTATTTGATTTTGATGTGTTGAATTAACTACTAGTTTTATAAGATTAAGAGGAGAGAGAGAGAGATGGGTTCACATGGGGACGAGGAATCCCTCTTGGAAGACGCCCTTCTTCAGGTTCCAACTCTTAAACATTTCTTGGTTATTTTAAGCTTGCTTCTTTAATGGGTTTGTTATCACTTGCAATGTAACTTCACTAAATATGTGTTGTAGTTGTACAAATCCTCTTTAATGGAAATTCAGAAAAAGAAATGCTCTTAAATGGTCAATAAAGTAGTTCTTTTATCTCTGCTCTGTTCTTGGCTTTAGTTTTCTTGTTTATTTGTGCAAAACTATTTAAATAAAGTCGTGATCGCATTAATATTGTAGAGAACACTATATGGTTTACATTTTGTGAACTTCTGCTTGTTTTGGGTTTCCTTTGGGTGGATGGGAAAGGAAACAAGAAAACAAAGGAAAAGAAAAAAAAAAAAAGACTGAAATACGAAGATGTAAATCAAGGTGAATAAAAAATAAGAGGGATAGGAAAAGATTTTATTTCTTTTTTGCTATGAAAGAAAATGATTTTATTTCATTGTAATAATTGGTCCTCTTCTTGTTTGGTAGCCGCACGTACACAATGACTATTTTGCCCATCTTATTTGCTTTTTTATTGAACTTGAGAGTAAGGGTATTTGAATTGAGAGTAAGAATATTATAATTTAGAGTCGGTTGTTTATTTACAACTAGATTATATCTACAACCACCACCCGTATTAATGAGATGTTTGTTTTAAGAGTTCGTCTCTGATTTTGAATCACGATTCTTAATTCTATACAGTGTTTTTCTTTTATAAAAAAAAATTAAATTTTAAAAATCAGAATCATAAATCATGATTCTAAACCCATAAACAAAAAGTCCCATAAGTTTTTTCATAGTTTTTCTTATTAATATACTTTTGACAACATAAATGATAATTTGCTTATTACACTGTCTCCTGACTCCTGTCAACATTTGTCTCCCCTTTCCCTTCCAATTCTAAGGAGATTTAAAATTGTGGGGCTCATACCTTTTTTTTCTTCCATTCACAAATCAATCCTATTCCTAATCCTAGCAACCATATTATCAATTTCCACTTGGAAATCCGTCCATTTTCAAAACTACCAAAGTGTTAAGAGTGGACCTGGACTTACATTTGTGGCCTATGATATTTGGAAGTAACTGGCCGTTTTTCACTGTGTTTTTTCTTTTGTTTTAATAAGGGTGTTTATCTGGTAGTCACCTTACCGGTCGTCTCAGTTTTTGACAGTTGGATATGGTTAAAATCACATCAGATTAAAAAAGTATGTAGAACAGATAGATTTTGATACAAATTTGATGGCTGAAAAGTAGATAACTACTGGTAGTCCATTTTTACAAGGACTACTAAAGAAAAGTCCCTTGTAATAATTGACTAAAGTTTTTAAAAATTAGGAAATGATCGTTTTTGGATTAACTTTATTTATCACTAATTAACTTGGTGAATGATCAATATAAGTTACTGATTAACCAACATTAGTTTGTACTTTGTAATTAATCTATTTTAATCAATAAACTACCGGTTTAGCAGTGATAAACTATTGGTAAATTGATGATAAACTAGTTTATACTAATTGACCATGGTTTATCACTAATTAACTACTATAAAAAAGGTCATTTTCTTTTTTAAAAAAAAATTGGCCATTTGTCAAATAATTTAAAAGTTTGGCATTTATTAAAAAAGGTGTCTAGAAAACGGTAATTTGCCTAATTTTCCCTTATCCTTTTTGAAGGAGCGTACCTTTTTTTTGTATATAAGGAGCGTACTTTCACGTAACATTCATAAGTGAGAAATATAATATGACATTTATTTAATGTAACATGCCATTTATTTATGTAACACTGACCTTAAAAATATGTAAACAAAAAAAATTTAGTTATCAACACTATTGTTATACATCTACAACGTCAATATTAGAATGAACAAATAATGTTGTCTGGAAGTATGGTCCTTCCGGGACATATATATCTCCCTTGAATTCTTACAAAAGCAGGTTATTCAAGTTAATAAAAATGCTTCTGTTTTTTTTTTTTCTTCTGAAAAAAGGAATTATGTTGTTTTCAATTTCTATATTCAAATATATTATGACGCATACTTTTCATTATTTCTTTTCTTTTTTTCCTTACCAAATCCTTTTTCTTTCTGATTTGTTGAGCGCGTCAAACTTAATTATTGTCCTAATACAAACTTAGCACACAAATTTACATATGTTGGGGGAGCGTCTATTTTGGTATTAGAGAGGTTGGAGATTAAAATGCGGAGAACGGCATGATGTGTGTGATCTCTCTCGTTATCTTATTCTTCATGGTAAAATTCTAAATTGAATGAAAATGTATGTAATTCTCGCATTGAGAGTAAACTACTATAATCCTGTGTGTGCTTATTTGTTTTCTTTTCTTCGTTTTTATTGCACCTGATAATAGAGGATTAGGGCCTAATTCTTGACAGATTAAGTTCTTATATGGATCAGTAAACACATCCTTTATGAGTTCAGGATGAAGGCGGTGGACTTTACACAGGTGACGGCTCAGTTGACATACAAGGGAAGCCCGTGTTGAAGCGAAATACTGGAAATTGGAAAGCATGTGTCTTCATTCTAGGTGTTTTGTCTGTCCTTTATGTTGTTCCTATTTTGTTATACCTATAAATTTTTCATGAATCTCTGTACTTTATGATATAGGTACCGAATGTTGTGAACGCTTGGCATTCTATGGAATTGCTATGAATCTTGTTACATATCTTACAAAAAAGCTGCACCAAGGAAACGTTTCTGCAGCAACAAATTCTACCATTTGGGGTGGCAGTTGCTATCTTACTACCCTCATTGGAGCCTTTTTGGCTGATACTTATTGGGGAAGATACTGGACTATTGCTGTTTTCTCCATAATCTTCTTCGTAGTAAGTTTTACTGGAGTAATAATTTCCCGTCCTCTTTTACCAATAAGAATGTCATTTAGCATAATTTAGCTTATGGAAGCTCAGCAATATGTGTTTTCGTAGTTTACGTTTTGTGTTCTTGCATTTTGTGTTTCAATACCCTGTCATATTTGGCCTGTTTCGTGTTCAATAGAAATAGCTATGAGAGAGAGAGAGAGAGAGTTTTAGGGCTTGTTTAATTCAACAACTCAAATTGTGAAAATTTGAACCTTTTTGGTTAGTAACTATAGAATCTGAACTGTGATGATTCAAACTGTGATCCGAACTGTAGTTTAGATATGTAAATAAATTTTAATTTGAATTGGGAATAAAATCCGAACAATATTTGGATAAAGTAATGAAAACTGTCATTAGAGTTTTGTAACAAATCTTATAAAACCTCATTATAAATGACATTAAAAATCTGCAATATGGGTGGAGATCTGTTCCTCTCTTTATTATGAACACATTAAAAAAAATCATCTCAATCGGAATTAAAACAATGAGGATATGACATTTTTAAGATTGAAATTGAAGAGCGGAAAAGTAGAATCTGAAACTATTAGACTGTTGACAACAATTCGGATTGGTAGAATTTATGGGGAGGTGAATTCTAAAATTAACAATTTGAGTTGTCCTTGAACCATTGTTAATGTTTGAACTGTCCTTGAATTTTCGTCTCCCAAACACCAATTTGAAACCTAAACTAAGGTTTGAATATCCTAAACAATAATTTGAGTTGTTGAAACAAATATGGGCTTAGTTGATTATGATCAATATGGAGGCATGTAGTTTTTGTCCTCTTTATACTTGTAGAAACAAAATGTATTACTCGGTTGATGAACTTGATGCAAAGTGAAAAAATTGCATTTTTATGAATATGGCACAGAGTGAATTTTGATGCACTTGTACCAAACGTAATAAGAGAAAGGTCCTCCCTAACTCTTCATCTTCAACTAGGTTATATACATTCCTTTCCCTCTTACCAGTCGCAGCCTTAATTGGCTGAAGCTGGAATGGGAGACCTCTCCTTTATTGATGGACTGTGCCAATTTGGCTAAGGGTGGCAATTCGGTAGTGGATCATGTTCGTGTCAGCCCGTTTATTAATCGTGTCAGAATACATCAATCCAAATATGACCTGTTTATTAAACGTGTCAAAAATGTCAACTTAAACACGACTCATTTATTAATCGTGTCAATCGTGTCAACCCGTTTAAATTAATATATTAAATAAATTATTAATATAATAATGACTTATTTAACTTCACTAAGAAATTACCTTCATAGTTTAACCAGAATGTTAGTGCGCCATGTAATACCTTATGGGTCAATAAGCTACACTACTACACAACGTTGAGTCCTATCCAAGGAAATATTAGGAAGAAAAAAAAAAAAAAAAAAAAGGTCAAAAGAAACAATTATTTTCAACATCTTGTGATGCTAATAAATAGTTAATTGTTGCTTTGCACAGGGGATATGTACGTTGACCCTCTCGGCATCAGTTTCGGCACTAAAGCCTCCAGAGTGCTTTGGTTCTGAATGTGCATCAGCGACTCCAGCAGAGTACATGGTATTTTTCATTGGACTTTACCTGATGGCGCTAGGGACTGGTGGGATCAAACCATGTGTGTCATCCTTTGGTGCGGATCAGTTTGATGATACCGATCCCAGGGAGAGAGTGAAGAAGGGATCTTTCTTTAATTGGTTTTACTTCTCTATAAATATTGGCGCTCTAATTTCAAGTAGTTTGCTGGTCTGGATTCAAGATAATGTTGGGTGGGGTATAGGATTTGGCATTCCTGCATTGTCTATGGGACTCGCTATTGCTAGTTTCTTTGCAGGCACATCCATCTATAGATTCAAGAAGGCTGGGGGAAGCCCTCTTACAAGGATGTGCCAAGTTTTGGTTGCGTCACGTCGTAAGTGGAACCTGGAGGTACCTGAAGACAACAGTCTCCTGTTTGAAACACAAGACGAAAGCTCCGCCATTGAAGGAAGTCGTAAATTGGAGCACAGTGATGAACTAAGGTTATTTTCTTCTTGAACTCAAAATTTTGTTTATAAGCCTCCTTTTTCGCGATGTTTTTACTCATTTTTCCTGTCTAAGTTGAAGTTAATCAAATCCTGTTACACCTCGGAATTTTATTGTAGTGTCAGGTGTGGTTAGTGATAGGTCTTGTGACGACCCTTCTAGGTGGCCGTAACTGTAGTTAAAATTAACTTGTACTTATTAGAATTTCTTAAAATTTGTGAAACGTTTTTTTTTTGTCTTATAGTAGACATAAGTTACAAATTACTTTCTTGTTTAATATATTCAAACATTAAAATATCTATTTCTCAAAGCATATAGATATATCATATGTATATACTTAATCCTTAAGTCTTGTTTACTTACAGCCATAATCCATAAAACCATTTAACATATAGTTTTAATATCATAATTAGCAAAACTATGTATAACGTAAAACTGATTGCGAAAATAATTGTGAGTGGTATTTATTCCCCGATCTCCACATCGTCCGTCCATTCGCCTTCAGTCCATCAAGTATTAGGTGCAGGTTCCTTACCTACAGTATAAATATTCTATGATGAGCTTTCACTCAACAAGTAAGAACTATCTCTCGCAAAATAACTGTAAGCTCACATGACTAAATATGCATGAGTCAATTATGCTTATTTATGATCACGTCTTATTAAATTCTTATTGTCTGATCTTATCTTACTTACTGATGGGTCCGAGTGCTCGTACCATGTGCGTGCAATCATCGGGACGTGCTTGCAAGGTCCCCAATGATACCGTGATTTAACTTACTATATACTTCTTTTTCTTTCCTATCTCCTTCCGGAGTCTGAGTTACCTCCCTCGCAGGGGTTGGTACGGCACTCAACTGAGTTTGTTCTTATAAGTTCCACTTGACTTATTAAGGTGTATGTAATATGGCATGGCAACGCATAAAGCATAAACATGTATATATAATATGTGTAACTTTTCTTTTTAAAATCTATTTATACTGTAGGTGAGATTCCTACTTACCTGATTTATAGGACTGAAATCTACTATTCATCAAACAGCTTACTCTCTTACTTGCTTACTTCTGAAAATGAACACCCATTGAGAGTGTGAGATTTACCATCATTTGCTATTGTATTTTAGCAACTTATGAAGGAAATCAAATCCTTTACTTAAGGCATGTATTCCTTTCCTTTATTGATGGATAAAAATTTACTATAAGGATTAATTTATTAAATCGTAAAAATCTTATTTTCCTTAATTGCCATTAGAGATGTCAAACGTGCCGTGCCAGCCCGGCACGGCACGGCCCATCACGGGCCTGGGCCATGCCAGGCACGACCCTGCACAGTGCAGGGCTGTGCCTGGGCCGGGCCTGAGAAGAAAAACTCAGGCCCGGTCCAGGCCCTTGGCCCTAGTCCATAAGGGCCAGGGCCGGGCCTGGGCCCAGGCCCTTCACGGGCCGGCCCCGGCCCTTGTATTTTTTTTAAAATTTAATTAAAAAAAAATATCATATGCCCCAAAAGATGTGATTTTATTGAATTGACGTAATAGGAATACACATAAATGACTGCCTCATTAAAAACCTTGCTAAGTAAAACCCGTGGGGAGATCATGACAAAACCTTAGCGAAGGAAAAAAGAGTGCAGTAGCTAGGAATAGTAAATTACAAACCTAAGTGCTTCCAGAAGATTCTGTTATTTCTAAGTTAGAAAAATATTCTTGCATCGAATCATCTGTGTATTGTTTTTTTCGTCTTCTTGTATCTTCCCAGTCTTTAACGCACATTAGTCCCTCCAGGATATCTGGATGCATTATGCTTCTCTTCTAGTCAAGAATTCGGTTGCTTGCGCTAAAAGCTTGCTCCGATGCTACCATTGATACTGGAGTTGTCAGAATGTCACGAGCTATTATGGACAGTGTTGGAAAATGATCTATCTTGCTCTTCCACCACTGTAAGATGTCTAGTTTGTCGTCATCGATTACAAAATTTACTTCAAAATATTTGACTAGTTCTGTAGACACTTGTGTTGAGGATGATCCTGCCGTTTTCTCTTTCTTCTTCAAGAAACTCCACGATGATCCTTTAGGCCCCGAACTGGTAGTTGACGACGAAGTTCCCTGTTCTTTTTTACTTGTGCTATATTTTACTTCATACAAACTAAAAACTTTTTCTAACATTTTCTTAGCGTCAGTAATACTTAGTTGCATATCTATTTTTAAATTCTCTGCAGTAGCAGTCATCAATGATTCAGTTCCATCTACTCCGCACCTAGGATCTAAAATGGTTGCCAATGCATATAATATAGGATAACCTGACCAATAACTTTTAAATTTATTTTCCATTAAGTTAACTATATTTCTAAAAAGTTCTGTATCCCTATAATAAGAAAATGTTTCTGAAATATTAAATAGTTGATGTAAAGCTAAATGTGCAGTAGGGTAATAAACTCCAGAAAGTAATTCAGTAGCATTGTAAAAAACTTCTAAAAATTTAAAAAAATACTCAACAATTTGCCAATCAGGATCGAAAATTAAAATTTGATCGTTCTTACTGTTTACGTATATCGTGATAAGCTGTGAATACGGGAGTGCTGCCTTCAACATTAAATATGTTGAATTCCACCTATGTCTCACGTTAGTTGGAAACTTTCTTGGGCGCATCTGGCTGTTCCTGCAATATTGTTTGAATTCTTGGAGCTGAGCTCCAGAACTAGATATGAAGGATAATGATTCTCTAATATTTGTAAGATTAGCAGAGATATGTTCAATTCCTGCCTGAACTACTAAATTAATTATGTGACATGCACACCGTTGATGAAAAATTTCCCCTCCAAATGCCGGTTTCAAACTATGTTTAAACAGATTAATTACAGTTGTATTAGCTGACGCATTATCAAAAGTAATTGTTAAAACTTTATCTTCTATCCTATAAAACCCAAAAATTTCCATTATTGTACTAAAAATAGTTGTTGCGTTATGAGGATATGGACATAAACGAAAACCAATTATTCTTTTTTGTAAAACCCAATCGTCATCAACGTAGTGCGTTGTGACACATAAATATCCAGTTTTATTACACCCCTCCCACAGATCAGAAGTGCAAGACACAGTAGCATTAAAAGTTCTAAAATTATCAACAAGAGATTGTCTCATTGCATAAAAAATTTTCATGCAATCAGAACGAGTTGTGTTTCTACTTACCCGTTTAAATTGTGGGCAAAAGGCTGTCTGGATGAATTCTTCGAAGGAGGCATCATCTGCAAAAGAAAGAGGCAATTCGGCACTAGCTAGAAATTTAGCTAGTGCCTCACGAGCACGTTGTGCATCGTATGTAAAATTTTGTAACCCATGTGATGTGAGTGATAGTGTTTGTTGGCGGGAGTCCACACTCCCACCTTGGTGCAACGGTAGACATACTTTCCAATGTCTATCCAGATGACCAGTACCCCCACCCTTTTTATTAGAAAAGTACTTTTTACAATATTTACATACCGCATGAATTTCCATCTCACCTGTTTTTGGATTTGGTCGGGGCTCCTCGGTGAAATGCTGCCATGCCGGAGTAGTTCGCAGTCTTTTTCCTCTACTGCGTTCTCCAGCTTCCTCGTTGTATACTGAAGCATTATCCACTGGAGCATTTTCTGGTTTAGTGGGGGTGGGGTTGGAAGGCATCATTTCTTCCTCAAAAAATGTCTCCTCACCAAGCTCAGGAAGAGTAGTGAAATCAAGGAAGTTTGGTGAGGCCATTTTCTGGAAATTGATAGAACTTGATTGAACTTTATAAATGAAAGAGCTAGAAAATGAATGAACGCGAGAAAAAAGCTTAGAATCAAAATCAAAGAGACAAGTTGAGAGATAGAATGAGAGTGAGATGAGAAGATTAGAGTGAATTATTGTGTGGGATTTATGGTGGAATTAAGGGGTATTTATAGGGGATTTTAGGGTTAAAATTCGGTTTTTTTCCGTGGGGCCCTTCGCGGGCCCAACGTGCAGCACGTGACGGGCCTCCCGTTTGGCCCATCACGTGCTGAATGAACACGAGAAAAAAGCTTAGAATCAAAATCAAAGAGAGAAGTTGAGAGATAGAATGAGAGTGAGATGAGAAGATGAGAGTGAATTGTTGTGTGGGATTTATGGTGGAATTAAGGGGTATTTATAGGGGATTTTTGGGTTAAAATTCAGTTTTTTCCCGTTGGGCCCTTCGCGGGCCCAACGTGCGGCACGTGACGGGCCTCTCGTTTGGCCCATCACGTGCCAAACGGGAGGCACGTGATGGGCCAAACGGGAGGCCCGTCACGTGCCGAACGTTGGGCCCGCAAAGGGCCCACTGGACCAAATGAAATGGGCTTCTTCGTGGGCCGTTTCGCGGGCATGGGCCGGGCCGAATCAAGGCTTGGGCCGGGCCGAATAAGGGCCGTGCCACGGGCCTCTACGTGCTTAGGCCGTGCTTGGGCCGCGGGCTGAGAAGTTGAGGCCTAGCCCTAGTCCATTACACGTGCCATGCCGGCACGGCCCGTAACAGTAACGAACCGGGCCGTGCTGAATCAGGCACTATTACAGGCTAGGCCGGGCCGTCCATGGACGGCCTGGCCCATTTGACACCTCTAATTGCTATTAACATCCACTTGCCTAAATTGAAAATCAATTACCCAATCTAGTCACTTATTCTCCATAATTTACCTCATTGGACTTGTTATGATATTAAGGTCCAATTCGGCCTATAAACTTATTCACGACGTTCTAACTCTTAAGTCGTTGAAATTTAAACTCAAACGGGGTCTTTTAAAGTAATGCGGGTGTTGGACCCACATCTAATCTTCATAATTCTAAAGACCTAACATATTGAGCTCGTAAGTGCCTGTCGGTATGTTTTGCTCGAAAAACTATTAAGTTTTTAAAAGAAACCATTTTTTCTTGAAAACTTCCTTCATGAATATTTCTGTTGAAACAAGGTCTAAAACCATAGTATTTTACTGAAATCACATCTCGAGTTCTTTGATAAACTTTTGTTAAAAACCAACACTGTGTTAGTTTTGTTCAGTTAAAACTGTGCAGTTTCTGAAATCTGCTTTTTACTGCATCTTAGAGTCAGATTTTGAAAGTCTGTTCTTCATGACAATTCTTCGTCTCGTCAAGATCTAAAATTATTGTTTTTAGAGAAAGCTGAAATTCAGCATCTAAAGGCCTCGTTTGGCTAAAAACAGTGGCTGCCAGTTTTTTTTCTGAAACTGTTTTGGACAGCATGTACTGTTTATGAAAAATGGCTTAAAACTTACATTTAGAGTTAAAACTGAGTTTTGTCACAATCACAGAAAAACATTCAAAACATGGAGAACTATAAGTTTAAATTTAAAAACACTGAAAAATCTCGCTCTAGGATCCTCATTGTCGCGTTCAAAGTAACCAGGAAATTTTTCCTATAACCCAAAATAAACAAACTTAAACCAAGCATAAACATACCGCATAATACTAATCAAACTAATCTCAAAACACACAAAACTAACATAAAACTCACACACCCTTATTACAAACTTATTTCCTCAAGAACCACAAATTACATCCATGATTCACAACTTAAACTTTGTTAGAAAAATAGAGGAAGGGTTTAGAGTTTTTACCCTTGAAGAAGATTCTTGGTTAGGCTCCTCCTAAAAACACTTTGATCACCTTCTTCTTCCTCTAAGTTTTGCTAATGACTTGGAACTAGAAGAGTGAAAAAATTTGAGAAGAGCATTTCTAAATCCCAAATTTTGCTAGAAACAAGAAAGAGGAGGTTTAGGGTGCGTTTGGAATTGGTTCCAAAATGATTTTATTTTCTGTATGAAAATGAAAATGAAAATGTTTTCATTTTCATTTTGGAATCATTTCTGAAAATACGTTTGGTAGTTTTATTTCGAAATTATTTTCAGTTTTAAAAAAACTGAAATTGTGTTTGGTGGTTTGATTTTTAAAAACATGTAATAATATTTAAAATAATAATATATTAAATAAATAATAATATTAAATATATTAAATAATAATATATTAATATAACATTATATATGTTAGTTAGGAAATGTTAACGATGGTGGTGGGAGAAGAGAGCTGAAGAGAGAAAACGAAAACGGAATAATGAAAACAGAAATAAATCGTTTTCAGATTTTCAGATAAGGACAAGATCGTTTTTGTTTTTAAGTTTTGGAAAATTTTATGCCAAACGCGTTTTCATTACGCATTTTCATTTTTCGTTCTCGAAAACTGTGAAAAATGGAAACGGAAACGGAAACAAACAAGCTCTTAAAGTTTGCCCTTGAAGAAAATCCTTGGCTAGACACTTTCAAGAACACCTTAGTCCCTTTCTTCTTCTTGAGATCCTAAACTAGTGCTTTGTGTTTAAAAGGATGGGTGAAAATTTTTTTGAGAGGAAACAAGAGGTATGGCCGGTTTGGTGCTTTAAGAGTGAAGTAAAGTAAGCTTTTTTATTAAATAGTTGATTTGATTCATCTCATCATGAAGTCTTCTAGTACACTCAATTAACCAAAATTTTTACTTAAAACCCCTTAACATGGCCGGCCAAGTGAAGAAAGAGAGGAAAAAAAAACTATCATGAGTACTCTTCATCTTCCACCATCACATCTCATCCAATCTAAACATTAACCTACCCCTTGCACTTTTGTCCCATCTCTTAAGTTTCCTTTGAAACTGTTAAAAATTATACTGCCTGTAAAGAAGTACTTAGCTGACTGAAAATTCTAGTTTCTGACGGTTCCTTTTCTACTGCTTTTTTACAGTTCAATATTAATCCCCCGGTACTTCGATATTAAATTCTTACTCACGTAATATTTCGAATTGTTTCAAGTCTTGAAATTAATTCTAGACTGAACAAATTCTAAATTTGACTCTTCTGCATTATATTTCGGGAATGACATTGCTACTGACAGTGTCAACTCCTGGGCTCACATTGTACCCTTCTACTATAAGTATTTTTCTTGTGACTTCAACCTAACTATTCGGCAATTAAGGATTTTTTTTTGTACGCTGATAACATCATATTGTGCTTGGAAATTCTTGGAATTAAGATTCTCAAATTGTATACGTACTGGAAATTCTTCCACCTTAAATTACGGTGAGACTTTATCGATCGAATTTATTTAATCGTAACACATGAACTTAGCATGAAATCTGCTACAGAATTTAGGAATATGGATATTAATTCCATAAATCCTTCAGTAACAAAATATAGCATAATATTTTTTAGGAAAAATTCTTGACTTAAATATATAAATTGTATTATTTAAATTATGGGATTTTCTTGGTCATTACAGGTCTTCATTGCGAATATTTATCTTTGAGATACCTGAAGGGAGAAGAGTCAAGAGGCATTTTATGGGATTTGCATTTGTTTTCTTACATAAGTTAATAGTGGATTATGGTTTTCCTTGAATAAAACGTGGAAATAAAATTCTGATGTAAGTCTCATTCATTTTACCGATTCGAGTTTAGAATTTAAGTTTTATTACAGTAAAAAGTTCTAAAAAATAATCACATCTAACTAAACAGGCCTAATTCTCATTAGAGAAAATTGTACCTTCAAATTATATGTCGAGTTCTCTTGTAGATAAAATTGTACCCCTAAGTTTCAATTTATTGGCAGTTGCAGGTATAAACTAGCAATGATTTCAACTCCATCATTTTTATTGTTTTGTTTGACAGGTGTCTAGATAAAGCTGCTATTATAACTGCTGCTGAGATGAACAATGAGGACTTCTACGATCCCTGGAGGCTTTGCACTGTAACTCAGGTGGAGGAATTGAAGATTTTGATCCGCTTTGTTCCCATTTGGGCTACTGGAATAATCTTTGCTGCTGTCGCTTCTAATTTGTCAACAATGTTTCTCGAACAAGGGATGATGATGGACACAACCATCGGCTCTTTCACCATTCCTCCAGCCTCTCTTGCGACTTTCGACATCATCAGTGTTATTATCTGGGTTCCCGTGTACGATAGAGTAATTGTCCCAATTGCAAGAAAATTCACAGGCAAGGAAAGGGGCATCTCGGATCTGCAACGGATGGGAATAGGCCTTTTCCTTTCCATTCTTAGCATGTCAGCTGCTGCTGTGGTGGAAATCAACCGATTGCAGCTGGCCAAAGAGCTCGATTTAGTCGAAAAAGAGGTGGCTGTGCCACTTAGTATCTTATGGCAAATACCGCAGTTCTTTTTGTTTGGCGCTGCAGAGATATTCACATTCATCGGACAACTGCAGTTCTTCTATGACCAATCTCCGGATGCTATGCGGAGTTTGTGCAGCGCATTGCCGCTTCTGACAAATTCACTAGGGAACTATCTATGCTCATTGGTTCTGACCATTGTAACTTACATCACAACAGTTGGTGGGAAAACTGGATGGATACCAGACAACATCAATGAAGGTCATCTTGATTATTTTTTCTGGCTTTGGGCTGGACTAAGCTTCCTAAACATGTTTGTCTACATAGCATGTGCCAAAAAGTACAAGCAGAAGAAGGATTCTTAAAGGTTGGTTAAAGAATGCATCATTTCAAAGAACAATGAACGAAAGAAGCTGAAATTTGTGGTTGATTGATTTCACATCTCAAAATAAAAGTAATACGTGTAATTAACAGATGTAATTATATTTAATTTAAGTTAAACAATACGTGTAATAATATTGCTTGTGCACTTAGTCAAGTCATTCTTTTTCAGTGAGTATTTACTTCTGCGGTCAAGCAATAAATAACTATTTTTGGCCTTTTCTCTCTATATAATAAGATTGCATTTATACTAGACAATTGCTAAATATGCATGCTTTTCATCTATCAGCTTTTGGATGTAAATTGGACATATATATGTACATATATATACATATATATGTATATGTTTAACAAATGTTAGCTCAGAATTTGAAATCATTGCTTATATATATGTGGTATTGAAATGAGAGTCGGCTCGAGGATTAAAATTCTTTCCTCAGGCTGGGTCAGCTTGTTGAGCCTTAATCCTAAAGAACAAATGCACTGAGAATAGACTTTTTATGCCACCTAGCATAGTCAATTAGTGAATAATACTTGTACCTTTTTAAGTTCCCAATTTTTTCACGTTTGATTTTTTTGTTTTTTTAATTTCATGACATCGTTACTCTAGTAGTAAAGAATAACAATATTATTATTTTTTTCATTGGTGCATCTTCAACATATGTGTTTAACAATTAGGACCTCGAACTTTTAATTTTAACAAAAGGGTATTCATAAATTCAAAACTTCGTTACAATTGTGGTCCAATAAAAAACGGACGGCAATTTAGGTATGGATTGTCCCTTATTTTTGCACCAAAACATTCTAAACAATTTGTCAAAAGAACAAATTGATCCCTCAAAACTTTTTAGTGTTGGTATTTGGAACTCTAATCTCCGTCTATTAATTGACGTCCATTATTGTTTGGGCTTCATTGCCAAGGACGTCAAATTTATTCCCCAAAATAGCTATTTGTCTCCCCAACCAAAAACTATATACAAGAACGCACAAAGCCTAAAACAGTAATAGATAGATGCTAGAAAAGACCGTAGTATAACACAAATGTATAAATAGTTCTACCTTCCAAAGAGTTCTATTGTACAATTGCTATTTGATAAAAGTAATAACAAAGGAATTTCAGAAAAAATGTGGATAATAATAAAAATAAATATAGTGACCAGCAACATCTTAATCAAATCAATGCTGCATACTACTAAGAAGTCTTTTTCGCCTTGTACTTTCTGGCAAAAACTAGATACACCAGCATATTTAAGTAGCTGAGCCCAGCCAAAAGCCAGAAAAAATAATCAAGATGTCCTTCATTCAGATTATCTGGAATCCATCCAGCTTTCCCACCTTCTGTTGTGAAGTAAGTCACAATTGTCAAGATCAAAGGGCAGAGATAATTCCCCAAAGAATTCGTCAGAAGCGAAAACGCACTGCACAAACTCCTCATAGCATCTGGTGCCTGCTCATAGAAGAACTCATGTTGTCCAATGAAAGTAAAGACCTCTGCAGATCCCAACAGGATATATTGTGGAATTTGCCAAAATATGGACAGTGGTACAGCAGCCTCTGTGTCGATCAACCCGAGTTCATTTGCATACTGCAGCCGCTTAATCTCGAGCAGTGCAGCAGCAGACATGCACAGAACAGAAATGAAAAGACCGATTCCCATCCGTTGCAATTGCGAGAAGCCTCTTTCATTGCCTGTATACATCCTTGCAATCGGAACAATGACCCTATCGTAAATGGGGACCAAGATAATTATACTAATGTGATTAAAAAACGAAAGAGAGGCAGCTGGAATGGTGAAGGACCCGACAGTTCTGTCCATCACCTTCCCTTGTTCAACAAAGAACGTAGGCATTTGGGCAAAAACAGCAGAAAATACTATTCCAGTTGCCCAGATCGGGAACATGCGGCTCAATATCTTTAGTTCTTCCACCTGTGTGATGGTGCAAAGCCGCCAGGGGTTCGAGAAATCCCGACTTTCAACTTCAGTTTCGGAGAGCAAAGCAGCTTTGTCAAGCCACCTATCACAGAAAAAAGGAAAGTTTGGTGTGGGAACAGTTTGTGAAATATACAATGGTAATGCTTTCCTTGCTGTCAAGAAATTGAGAGAGCAATATATTCACTCTCATAGAAGTATGTCAATTGTAAAATAAACATGGGTTAGCTGCAGCAAAAGGATTAAAAAAAGAAAGAAAAAAGAAAAATACAAACACAAGACAACAACAACATAAAGTAAATAGGTCTGATTAATTAAGATAGCCTCATTGAAACTTAAGAAAAGTTATAGAAGATGACTACCTTAGTTCGTTGCTATGCTCGAGTTTACAACTGCCTTTGATGGCAGAGCTTCTTTCTTGCGTTTCGTAGAGGACACTACTGTCCTCAGGCACATCCAGTTTTCTCTTATGAAATGCCGCGACCAAAACCTGGCATATTCTTGTCAAAGGGCTTCCCCCTGGTTTCTGAAATCTATATAGGCGTGTGCCCAAAAAAAGACTTACAATAGCAATGCCTATAAGCAAAGCAGGGATTCCAAATCCAAGACCCCACCCAACTTTGTCTTGGATCCACACCAGTAAGCTACTAGCTAGAATAGCACCAATGTTTTGAGAAAAGTAAAACCAGTTGAAGTAGGATCCCTTCTTCACTCTTTCACTAGGATCGGTATCGTCAAACTGATCAGCCCCAAAAGGCCATATGCAAGGTTTGATCCCACCAGTGCCTAGAGCAATCATGTATAGTCCAAGAAAGAATACTGCATACTGTGCAGGAGTAGCCACCGGGCATCCGGAATCTGAACATTCACTAGGCTTCAATGCTGGAACTGATGCTGAGAGAGTTAATGCGCACACACCCTATTTCAATCACAAATCCATGAATCAATAACAACATATACGACTTTTCATGTTAGACCATCTCCAATGTAAATGCCAATATTTACCAATCTAAGATGCTAGTTTTGCCATTAAAAAGTGCGTGCTATTTTATTTCACACTCAAATGCATGATGCTACTTCAAATGCTATATCCACTTTTTATCATAACTAAGCTTTGGAATTAGTAAATGTAGACTTTTAACATTAAAATAATTTGGAAGTGACGATATTGTAATTATCAAAATGAAAAGGTAATACAACAATAAAGAGTAATTAAATGATAAAATTTGACACCTGCTATACTTCGTGCCAAATTGAATAGCATTTGTAAAATTTAGCATAAAAGATAGCATTACAATAGAGAGTAGTTGTCCTACTCAAATGCTTAAATTTGACATTAGCGTACTAATTTGATATTGCGTTGGAGATGCTCTTAGAAGAAATGTTTTCAAGTATTTTCAATGAAATTATTTTCATGGAGAAGAAATGATGAGTTAAGCTACATACACCTAAATAAACTATCGCGAAACCGGCAATCGTCCAATATCTACCCCAGCATGTGTCGGCTAAGATGGCGCCAATCAGAGGAGTGAGATAGCAAGTTCCTTGCCATGTGGTAACATTTGTTGCTGCAGAGACATTTCCTTCATGTAGTCTTTCAATAAGATAATTAACAAGGTTTGTGGAAATGCCATAGAAGGCCAGACGTTCGCAGAAAAAAGTTCCTGCATTTTTAGGTAACAACTAGTAAGGATGGCAAAAACAAAAGCATTAGAGAAGACAAATGTTCGAACTGAAGAAATACCTAGGATGAAAGGACACGCTTTCCACTTTCCAGTATTATTTTTAAGAACAGGCCTCCCATGAATGTCAACCGAACCATCCCCAGTATTGAGTCCGCCGACTTCATCCTGAAGGTATGCAGACACTAAACTGTCATACATAAAAATAAAAAAAAAATCTAAAAAATAATGCAAAACTGCCAAACAAAAAGTGGTAAGAGATCTTAAACAGTCTAAATCATTGTTTTTCTTTGTAAGAAAATGGCATTTTTGGTACAAGAAAAGGTACTGTTTTACTGGTCTTCAGATTCAGGGTAAGCTACTGACTACTGTGCAACTCTCCATTCAAACCTGAAGATACTAGCTTTTTTTTTTTTTTTTTTTTGAAGAATTTGAAAAAGGAAATGAAGAGAACTTGGAAAAAAAAAAAAAAAAAATTCAACGGGATTATTGGAAAACCTTACCTCACATGGGCAGTGACTAAAGTAAACTACAAAATTACCTTATTTTACAGTTCAACAAGAAAAAGAGTTTGAGATAAACAAGGACAAACATAATAATACCGTTATATATTATAGCTTTTGTAACAGGATTACAGAGTAAAGGCATTGGATAAATTAACTGATGATTCAAGAAGAAAAGAGCATATCAAATTAACTGATGCAACACTGATTATCAAAAAATCAATGATACTTAACTGATGCAACACTGATTATCAAAAAATCAATGATACTTAACTGATGCAACACTGATGATCAAAAAATCAATGATACTTAACTGATGCAACACTGATTATAAAAAAATCAATGATACTTAACTGATGCAACACTGATTATCAAAAAATCAATGATACTTAACTGATGCAACACTGATTATCAAAAAATCAATGATACTTAACTGATGCAACACTTATTATCAAAAAATCAGTTATACTTAACACTTGTTAAAAAAAATAAAAAATAAAAAATAAAAAAAAAATCTCTTCCGCTATCTTTTGGGTCCCCAGTTCAAGTCTCTACAGTACTGTTCAACACACGTATAGAGTCATAAGAAATTGAAATAACAGAAATCAAAAAAGGAAAAACACTAGTCTAGTAATAGACTCTCAGCTCAGCAACTCACCCGTTAATTTCCACACCCTTTGATAACAATAATCAAAAGACAATATAATCTTAAAATTTTGAGGGGGGGAAAAAAAAAAAGACAACAATATAATCGTAAAATACAAAAGCAGATAGTGGGGAGTAAAACCTGCAAGAGATTGTCCTCTAAGAGGCATCTGTTATCCTCCCGAGAACCCATTTTTCTTTTTTCTTTTCCTTTTTTGATTATTGGGTTTGATAATCTACTACAATGAAGTAGATAGAAAAGGAAATTTTTTGTGGTAGCTAACGGAGAACAAACAACAACAACTAATAATAATAATAATGAGCATGAGCCATGATGTTGATTCCCCGCGAAATGCTTAATGCTAATTACAAAATTGACAAGTGCCAACAAAAACAGTAAATGTTAAGGGCAAAGTCTGGGCCCCAGTCCACACCAGCATTTCTCATACTTGAGATCATTAACGATTGGATAAAATGAGGACCAAATGAAAAGAGTATTGACTTTTGAATAATTATGCAACTATATAAGGCTCCGTTTGGTAGAGAGGTAGAGAGTAGCAAAGATTGAAAGAGTAAAAGGGATAGAAAATAAGAAGGATAAAAGAAGATTATGATAATCCCTTAGGGTTAATTTCATAAATAGTCCTCAAGATTTATATTAAATCTCACCTTAGTCTCTGACTTTTTAAACATCACGTAGATAATTCCTGAAGCTTTATTTTGTTTCAGTTTCAGTCTTTCTATCAATTAGACGTTAAAATTTGATGAAATTTGTGTAAATTAGAGTTCAAAATTAGAAAAAGCTAAAATTTTAAGTCTATATGTGAGAATTAACTTTTAATTTTTTATATTGTTTTAGTCTCTAAACTTTATATGTTCCTAAACTTTATATGTTCTTAATTTTACGTTTTGAAAAGTTAAAAATTAAAATGAGATTGAGGTTAAACTTCAAAAACCATTTGTGAAATTAACCCAATCTTTTATGTTATTTATGTTATTTAATAAGAAGAGGAGTTAAAATAACGGATTCTATGAATGAAACCTCCCGATTCCTTAAGTGCAAGGATGCAATTTTGTGGGCGAAGAGAAGAGCTCATACATTCATCCCCCGCTTTCTTCCTCTCCTCCCTTCCATTCCAACTTTTCTTTTTTTGGACAAAGTATTCATTCAACTGTTGAAAAAGAAATACTTGGTACCAAATGCATAAACAATACAATTACAGTGCTCCTTTTTTCTCAAGTAAAATCAAGTTGAAACAAATTTCCTTACATCTAAGAGGAAGTTCAAAATATATTTTTCAACACATTGTGATGCTTATTTACAAACCAATGGAAAGAACATAGGGTTCATACTTTGGCTTTCAACCCTTGAGCCTCTTTCAGTTCATCGTTCACCATTTCTCTCAGATGACGCATTTCACCGGAGACTCTTTAAGAAGCCAGCTTCTGCTTGTACTTTTTGGCACACACGACGTAAGCTAACATGTTAAGGAAGCTGAGCCCGGCCAAAAGCCAGAAAAAATAATCAAGATGACCCTCATTCAGGTTGTCCGGTATCCATCCGGGCTTCCCACCTTGCGTTGTGAAGTAAGTTACAACAGTCAGAATAAAAGAGCTAAGATAATTTCCTAGTGAAGTTGTCAGGAGCGATAATGCGCTGCACAAACTCCGCATAGCATCCGGAGATTGGTCGTAGAAGAACTCAAGTTGTCCGATGAATGTGAAAATCTCTGCAGCACCCAACAAAAAGTATTGGGGTACTTGCCAAAAGATGCTAATTGGCACAGCTACCGGTTTGTCAACTAAATCGAGCTCTTTGGCAAGCTGCAACCGATTAATTTCTACCACAGCAGCAGCTGACATACACAGAACTGAAAGAAAGAGGCCAATTCCCATCCTTTGCAGCTCCGAGAAGCCCCTTTCCTTGCCTGTGAATTTCCTTGCAATGGGGACAATTACCGTGTCATAAACAGGAACCCAGAAGATAACGCTGATCACGTCAAAAGTTGAGAGAGAGGCTGGAGGAATGGTGAAAGAACCGATGCTTGTGTCCATCATTGTCCCTTGTTCCACAAACATTGTGGACATTTGGGCATAAACGGCAGCAAAGACTATTCCAGTAGCCCAAATGGGAAACATGCGGATCAAAATCTTCAGTTCCTCCACCTGAGTTACTGTGCAAAGCCTCCAAGGATTGGAGAAGTCCCCACTGTTCGTCTCAGAATCAGTTATAACAGCAGCTTTATCAAGGCACCTACCAAAAGGGGAAAAAATAGTTCATTAAGTAGTTCTGCAATTTGATCCAAATAAAATATTAAGGGAATGAAATAATAGAGAGCGATCGTCTTTAATCCAAAAATAAAATAGTAGTGTGGCAACCAGACTAATAGTATCAAACAATGAAAAATAATTTGAACAGAAATTGACGATATCAATAGCATAATCCAGAAAGTCCTTAATCTAACATTATATTTGACGTTCAAGTTGAGTTAGAAGAAGAAACTTATTAATCTCTTAACATTATATTTGACATTCAAGTCGAGTTAGAAGAAACTTACTCTAGTTCATCACTGTGCTCAAGTTTACGACTTCCTTCAATTGCAGAGCTTTTGTCTTGTGTTTCAAACAGGAGAGTACTATCTTTAGGGACCTCCTGGTTCCACTTACGACATGATGCAACCAAAACTTGAGACATCCGTGTAACAGGGCTCCCCCCAGGCTTCTGGAATCTATATAGGGATGTGCCTGCAAAGAAACTAGCAATTGCGAGTCCCATGAACAATGCAGGAATGCCAAATCCTATACCCCACCCAGCATTCTCTTGAATCCAGACCAGAAAACTACTTGAAATTAGAGCGCCAATATTTATAGAAAAGTAAAACCAATTAAAGAAAGATCCCTTTTTCACCCTCTCTCCGGGATCGGTATCATCAAACTGATCTGCACCAAAGGAAGAGACGCATGGTTTGATCCCACCCGTCCCTAGTGCAATCATATAAAGTCCAAAGAAGAATACTGCATACTGTGCTGGAGTTGCTGATGGACATTCAGAACCAAAGCACTCTGGAGGCTTTAGTGCTGGAACTGATGCCGAGAGGGTCAAAGTACACATGCCCTGTACAAAACAATAACAGAGTAATCATTACTATTGACCAAACATCCAAAACATTATTTTTCTTTATTTCTTCTAACCATTTCTTGACTAGGCATTTATGTCATCTGATAAAGCCAACTTATTTATAAAATGGTAGGTGGCATATATACTTACGAAGCATCAACACTCTCATTAATATGCAAAGGTAAGCTCTTATACGGGTCCCCAATACCAAGAGACAAGACCTGGCCAAATTGGAATAGAGCACCAATAAGGGAGAAGTTTCCCTTTTCAGGTTCAATCGATAGAAGGCTGAGGTTCAGGCTGCTCGATTTTGTAGTGTAAATTACCGTCTTAGAAGAATGCTTACAACTTTATCTAAATTCACCCCTTGCTAATTACTCATCTAATTTTGAAAAGTAGTAATCTTTTAATCAAGTTCATGAATGTGGTGAGACCTTAAGAGAGTAAATATAATAGTCTTTCTAAGTACAAAGAAAAGTAACACACCCCCTATATTGATAACAAGCTATCAGTTTTTGTTGAATAGACAATCTACTTTAAAAATCAGAACAAATCATTTGTATTCTGACACAAGCACCGATTATCCAAAGATGAGCCCAAAAAAAAAAAAAAAAAAAGACAAGCAGCAAATGACGAAACATCATGATGTGTACAATATGTAATGTAAACAGAATAAAAGTAACGACACAGTTATCCAAAGACGAGCAGCAGTTGATGAAAACAAAACACAGACAGCAGGAACACAAAAATTTCGTGATGCCATTTAGATATGTGACGCTAAATGATATTTCTTATTGGAACAAATAAAATCATTCTTGATGTTCCAAACAGAACTTCAACTTACTATGAAGTAAATTGTGGAGAAAACAGCAATTGTCCAATATCTTCCCCAGTAAGCGTCTGCCAAAATGGCTCCAATGAGGGGAGTAAGATAGCAAGTGCCTGACCAAGTGGTAACATTTCTCGCGGCAGAGACATTTCCTTCATGCAGTTTTTTCGTAAGATATGTAACCAGATTCGTGGCAATTCCATAGTACGCCAATCGTTCACAGCATTCGGTACCTGTATCATAATTCACACAGCATAAAAAGCTAAACAAGTTCAAATTATCTTATAAATAGAAGAAATGCAAAGAACAATCGAAAACCTAGAATGAAGGGGCAAGCTTTCCAGTTTCCCGTATTCCGCTTCAGCACCGGCTTCCCGTGAATGTCAACTGATCCATCACCTGTGTAAAGACCATTGCCTTCATCCTGGAGTAACAGACATGAGTTTTCACCATATGGGTCATACAGAAATGAGTATAAAAATGTAAAGGACACCATTTTCAGCTCAAAACATATTTCAGAGAACTTTTTGTTTATCACTAAGGTAAAATCATATTCTGGTATGGTTTATTGGAAAGATAAAGTTGCTCATAGAATTGTAGGCAGCAATAAATTCTCATAAATATAAACAGGCGAAAATAAATGTTTTTTATACGAGTTTAAGCCCCAAAGAAATGAACAATCAAAGAAAACCCTCGAGATCTATGGACATATAACCAAAAGAAAATTGAGAAAAAATAAACCCAGATTCTCAATTTCCTATTTCTCTTCCGACAGATAACGCAATCCCCATCTGGTCAAAACCCAATTTGATTTTCGAGAAAACTGATACAGTTCGTGATTTCTAATACCAAAACCTCAATTATCCTTAAAAAGGGACTAAACCTTTAGATCAAGCCTATAGGGGCTTTGTTATTTTAAGCTCAATAACTTCTGATCTTAATCATATCCAATCAAAATATTCATCCAATTCATGCAAATAGAAACGATATTTTAGTAAAGTCAAATTTCAAGTTAAGATATTGAAGTATCGAAAATGTTAAGGAAGGAGAGAGAGAGAGAGAGAGAGAGTTGGAACCTGAAGAAGACCTTCTTCCAAGAGAGCTCTCTCTTCCCCCTGTGAACCCATCTCCTCTATCTCTGTGCTCTGACACTCTCTCTCTATCTATCTATCTATCTAATCCCTTCTTTCTAAATTCAAAAGATTCTTAAAGTGAACGAAAAGTAAAGAAACCCAACATATATAAGATACTTTGAAGGTTTTTTACATTTGTATAATATATATTTTATGAATATCAAAAACTTAAGTTGTATTCATTTTCACCGATTCGAGTTTTATTACAGTAAAAAACTTTAAAAATAGTCACATTTAATTTTTTTATTACAGTAAAAAACTCTACATAAAATCACATCTCAATTCAAATTAAAAACTTAAATCAGCGAACTAAATGGACTTTAATACCGTAAATTTTGAACTATTAATATTTATGGCCCTTTAATTAATAGATTCTCTATTAGGTTCGTTTATATTTGAAGTTTGCGAGGGCTAAACAATAATGAAGATTCTTCGTTAGTGTATCTAGTTTTGCACAGTGACGAAGCCAAAAAAAAATTTCAGAAAGGGCTTGAGTTAAATTAAAATTTTAAATTGAATTAATTGTATAACAGAGTATAGTTAGAAATAGTTTTTTTTTTTTTTTTTTTTTAAAAAAAAAACTACGGTTAGAAGCAAAAATTAAGAGTGCAAACGAAAAACTTTTAAATTCTTACATAATATCTAGAGTCAAAAAATAAAATTTGAAGAAAGGTAAAGTAATAAATTAAGATCAAAATTAAGGATATAAGTGAAAATTGTTATAACATTCAATATAAAATTTTAAAAATAAAAAAATTTAAAGGGGGCTAAACAAGAAAAAAAAAAATGAAGTAAAATAATAATTTTACTGAACAAATTAAAAGAGTTAGCTTGGCTCAGTAGGCTTAAGCCCCGTTAGGCCTAAGCTAGCATCATCTATGGTTTTGCATTATGCAAGATCTAAATACGTAAGGGGATTCATACCATAATTTGAATCATAGTTTATGGTTCGTTACAGTGTTTTCTCTCATAAAAAATACACGTAAATCAAAAATAATTATAATCTCATAATTCTAATCCATAAACCAAACGTCTAATAAATGATTAAGAATGAAAATTTACTTTTTATGGAGAAGGGACATAACAATTTTGGGAGGGTTAATTAAAATTAAAGCGTATATTAAAAAAGTTTAGTAAATATCATACAGTATAAAATCAAATATTTTAACCTAATCAAAATACTAAAAATACTTCATCCCTTAAAAAAAATCCTTTCACCTCTCTCTCTCTCTCTCGTGTTTGACTAGAATGTCGTCGTTGCGAGGTCAAGTGATTGCGTCATCATGGAGAGTGATTAGTCTCGAGAAGATTGGCAAATTTTTTATGATGAAGCTCGTCTTGTCTCTCCACTCGTCTGATGATTCAATTGTAGCACATCAAGATGAAGATCTAAGAAAAGCTCGAACCTAAGCAGCAATGTTGGAACCCCGTCTTTACCAATCGATGTGGTGGCTCGATTGAAGAACATTTGATTCGGCGCAATACAACACCACGAAGAGCAGGTGCCTGAACGACGACGAAATAGATAGAGACAAATAGAATGGTTCGAAGAAAAAAAAAACATCAATATAAATAAGAATAAATGAAAAACAAAAAATTATATTTTTAGAAATATGTTATTTTTAATAACTACCTAAAATAAATATGATTTTTACTACCTAAAGTTTGATGAAAGCTTCTATTTACTAGAAATTTCGTTCCTTTTTTGTTTGTTCTTTTTAATGAGAATGAGTTTTAAAGTACAGCGAGTGACAATGAGAATAATATAAAATATTTTTAATTTTTAATTTTTAATTTTTAAGGATGTTAAAATCATTTTATAATCAAAATGGAGAAAAGAATTAAAGATAAATTGAATTTTGTTGAAAGTAAGATAAATTGATTTAATAGTATAAATGCACAACAATTTAATATAAGATGATTTTTTTCTTACACTGAAAATTTAAGGTAAAGTCTTAAACCCATTATTCTTGCCAGTTTGATAAATGTAATTTTTTTTATATTTATGTGTAACATCATTTCTAAGTGTGTGCGTGTGTAGCATATGATTTGTTTAAATATAGGAATAAAATTATTTTGATACTATGTGTTATAGCGAAATATGCTCTTGATATTTTATGTTTTTGATAATATTAAAGTGATATCTCAACATTTTTAAAAACATCTTCTTGGTATTTTGAAGTTGATTTTTCATATGCAAAACCCTTTTATTAATTAATCAAAATCTAATAGATCTAGAAAATAATCATAAGAAATACTAATTGTTATTTAATTAATTAAAAGATCATTTGAAAATTACATATTTTAAAAATTAATTTTAAAGTATTAAAAAATCAAGGTATTATTTTAAGGTATTATTAAAAAAATACCTACCAGATTTTATCCCTTAAATATAATACTCAATATATAGTTGTTGGATTATATATTTTAATATTACACTAACAAATTAAATGCTACACGTATAAATGGGTAACACTCAACAAGAATACAAAAAAGAATATATAAATTTATTTAATTTGTTAATTAAAATTTTTAATTTAAATTGAGATATAATTTTATATAAAAAAATTTTATTATAATAAAAAATTAAATATAATTATTTCTAACAGTAAATTTAAATTAATAAAATAAACGGACGTACATTTATCAAGTTAGAGAACAGAGACAATTCCTAAAATTCAGAGCATCTAAAAACTTTGAATTGAAATGTGGGTGACGTAATCAGGGAAGACAGACCTCGGAAGATGGAATGTTAGATTGCCTAACCGTCCGTAATAAATAGAATCCTTGCTCTCTTCCGGATCATAAAAGTTTGCGTCACTGACAGTTTTATAAGCCGAAAAAGAGGTGGGCTAAACCATATGTTTGCTTGATTAACGCAAAAAAAAAAAAAAAAAGAAGAAGACCATATATGTTGCTTGAAAAGAAAAAAGGTGAAGGCCAGAATCATCATTCATGCTTTCTTAATTATTGACCGACTAGATGATGATAATGATGTTTCAATTCTTAGACCCATGATAATAGTCTCTACATTTAAAATGGTATGTTAAATTTTTCAATAAGTATTATATAAATGATTCATCTCTTAAATTTTTAAGTAAAATTTTTAACAAATGGGTCATTTATAAAACACTTTTACGATTAATGGCTCTTATCTAAAAATTTAACGGATCAACCTTTATAAATATTAAAAAAAATGTAACAACTTTAGTCACTATACGAAATATTTAGAGAGTAAAATATAGGTTGCCTAAGCCTTTTTGTAAATTTTTTAAAATAGTTTTTCTCTTTTATTTGTTTTAGAAAATAAGTTATTTTTTCTTTTAAAAAAATGTCTCATGACTTTTTGTATACTTTTTTTTTTTATCAAATTAAGTTAAAAAAAATATACTTGAAGGTAGAAGTCTAATTCAAGATTGGAAGTCAAGGCCTTATCCGAACTTAAGCCTTATATAAACCACTGAAACTTTAGGCTCTGTTTAGTTCCTACTTGAATTAATTTTATTACAATAATTTTTATCTTATAAAAAATTTGAATTTAAAATTTTCTTATCTAATAAAATTGTGGCTAATGAATCAGAATCACTGACTTTTATGCGTAAACCAAACAGATCCTAAAAAAAAAAAAAAAAAAAAAAAAAAAAAAAAAAAAAAAAAAAAAAAAAAAAAAAAAAAAAAAACACCAGAAGAATTGCTTTTACACCCTTACCATCAACTTCTGTAGCTGTCTGTTCTCATGAATGATTCCTCCCTTGGAAACTCTTCTTCTGTTTGAACTTCTTGGCACAGACCATGTAAACCAGCATATTCAAGACACTAAGACCGGCCAAAAGCCAAAAGAAATAATCAAGATGGCCTTCGTTCAGATTATCCGGTATCCATCCAACATTGCCCCCCTCTGTTGTGAAGTACGTCACAATAGTAAGAATAAATGAGTTTAGATAGTACCCTAATGAAATTGTACAAAGACACAATGATGTGCATAAACTCTGCAAACCATCTGGAGACTGCTCGTAGAAGAACTCCAGCTGCCCGACGTACGTAAATATCTCCGCAGTGCCCATTAAAATGTATTGGGGTATTTGCCATAAGATACTAAGAGGTACAGCTACTTTCTTGTCAACTAAGTCAAGTTCTTTGGCAAGTCGAAGTCGAGTAATTTCTATCACAGCAGCAGCTGCCATGCACAAAACTGAAATAAAGAGGCCGATTCCCATCCGCTGCAACACCGTAATGCCTTTTTCCTCGCCTGTAAATTTCCTTGCCATCGGGACAAACAGGCTATCATAAATGGGAAGCAAGAAGAGAACACTAATGACATCAAAAGTTAAGAGAGAGGCTGAAGGGATGGTCAAAAAACCAAAAGTTCTGTCCATCATCATCCCTTGTTCGACGAACATTGTCGAAACTTGTATATAGACGGTCGAAATAAATATTCCGGAAGCCCAGATCGGAAGCAAATGGATCAAAGTCTTCAGTTCTTCCACCTGAGTTACAGTGCAGAGCCTCCAGGGATTGGAGAAATCCCCGCTACTAATCTCAGCATCTGAAATTACAGCAGCTTTATCAAGGAACCTGTTGTGACAAAAGTAGAGTTCATTAACATTTAGAAGAGCTATTTATATTTTAGAAAGTACATATCGATTAAACGTTAAAAGCTACAAAGATTAGAAACCGTAAGAAAACTAGAGATCAGAGGACATTTTTATTTCCTTTCGGATAAACTTTAAAGCACCAATAGTGTCTGGAAGAAAACGAAACCATATCCATGTAATACCTCAAACTTTTTCACATATTTAGTAGAAGTCCTTGTAACAATCAAATTGTGAAATCAGAGCAATTAGTAAAACGTGTTACCCCGCAACAAATTCCGAGTAAAAAAGAATTTTTAATTAGCTTGAGCATAGAAGAAAAATAGTACGGGAGAGAGCATAGTATGAAAAATCTTAGCACAAAACAGGTCAGTGCAAAACGTATCAGGACTACAGTAAAGAACAAATGCTTTCACTACAAGAAAGAATGATTATAGAGAAAATGAAAATGAAAGCAAAAACCACCACTGCAAGGGGGGAAAAAAAATCTGTCATATGGCAATTGAAGGACCACATAATTAGAAGAGACTAGTTAGAGCATGTATTCTTTTAGTTCCAGCTAAGGCAATTCAAGAATTGTGCAAGATAACTACATCAATTAGTAATTATCATTTAGCAGCGTAAAATTATTAGAAGATAATTACTTCAGTGTGGCAGTATGATTAACTTCATAGCTTCCTTCAATAACAGAACTTTTTTCTCGTGTTTCAAACAGGACGCTACCGTCGCTAGGAACCTTCAAATTCCACTTACGGCATGATGCAACCAAAACTTGGCACATTCTTGTAATAGGACTTTCCCCTGGTGTCTGGAATCTATAGCGGGGTGTACCAGAAATGAAACCAGCAATAGCAATTCCCACAAACAATGCAAGAACTCCAAATCCTGGACCCCACCCGACATTATCTTCAATCCATACTATTAAAGTACTTGACATAAGGATGCCAATATAAATTGAGAAGTAAAACCAGTTAAAGAAAGATCCCTTCTTCATCCTCTCCATGGAATCAGTATCATCAAATTGATCCGCACCAAATGGCGAAACACAGGGTTTGATCCCGCCAGTCCCTAGCGCAACTAAATAGAGTCCAAATAAGAACACTGCTTGCTGTGCAAGAGTGGCTGATGGACATACAGAACCGGTACATTCTGCAGGCCTCAAAGCTGGAACCGATGCTGAGAGAATTAATGCACACATTCCCTGACATAATAAAAGTAACTAATCAATTCAATGACGATTATCTATATGATCTCCCCCCACCTTTCTTTCCTTATGCACAAGAGGACTCAATGTTAACGTGGTTGCAAGGAATGTTAGCGTTATAATTAAATTAAAAAAATAATAATAAAGGTGATCCACAAAATGCGGCCAACAGAAATTCGGAACGGATAATATCCCCAATGCAAAGTGCTACTCTACCTCTTCAATGAGGGGGCTTTTGGTTCAATAAAAAAGAGTTGGGTTGAAAAAGGACAGAAGGTTACTATCATTGTGTTTCTTAAAATTGCATTTGCTTTCCTCTATAGTCATCTAAAACAATTCGGTGTTGAAGCTCTTGGATTTTCTTAAGAGTAACACTAGTGTTCTATAAACCAATTTAAATGACAAGGGTGATGCTCTGAAGAGAAAAAAGACGTGTTTCTAAAATAATGTAGGCACTATAATATTCTTATTTCTATCAAAAGAACACAGATCAGGATCTTAGTTTGTGGTCACCAGAAAGTAAATCATGGAGAAAGCAGCAATAGTCCAATATCTTCCCAAGTATGCATCTGCTAAAGTTGCTCCTAAAAGGGGAGTGAGATAGCAAGTGCCTTGCCAAATGGTAGCATGTTTTGCTGCAGAGACATTTCCTTCGTGTAGTTTGTTTGTGAGATAAGTGACAAGATTAGTGGAAATACCATAGAAGGCCAAGCGTTCACAGCATTCGGTGCCTGTATTACATATTATATTCATTCAAAGGATATTGAATTGTTCTTTATTCAAAGAAAGTAAGAATCATAAAACACGGAAAACAATAGAGCACCTAGAATGAAGTAGCATGCTTTCCAATTCCCGGTATTCTGTTTCAACACGGGCTTCCCATTGATGTCAACAGAACCATCACCAGTGTAAAGCCCACTGTGTCCACTCTGAACATAACCATACGACATCATGTAAGACTTACAATACAAGACTACAATCAAATAGGAAAAAGAATTACAAAGCAAGGTTACATTACGAGATTGTGAGTTGTTACTAACTGTAAATCCGTCAAATTATTGCCAATTTCTATAACTCTATTACATACATTCAAAGTCAGTTAAAACCACGAAATCATGGTCCCAAAAAGGTCAGGATCCATTGGAGCTCATAAATGGGATTGTCACTTAAATATTGGAGATAATAATTTTGTAGGCAAAGTCCTTTCTCAAGTCAGTTCCTTTGGGTTCCAAGAACTCTTAGAGCTTGTTTGGTCGGAGGGAAGGAAGGAAGGAAAGGGGTGAGGGTTGGGAGGCATGATAGTTTGGTAGGAGAGAATGGATTAGGTGATGGATTTCAAATCCTTCAAAGAACATCAATTTTAATATCTACCAACATGAAGAGATTAGACCTGTGAATCCACTCCTAAACATAATAAGAGAAAGGCCCCCTTATTCCCTTCCATTTTCCTCACCCAAGTTATATATCTTTCTTTCCTTCTTATTTTCTTTCCCTGTTACCAAACACACTCTTAAACAAAAAGCACATTATCTTGTAGAGATGGCTTTTAACTCTCAAGAATACAGATGGTGCTATGGCCCCTCCATTTTTCCTTTTTTTTTTCTTCTCTCTCTTTTGTCAGCAGTCCAGAAATGCTAATAACAACCTCCATGTAGAACTAACGCAAAAAAAAAAAAAAAAGTACACCCTACCCAGATAACTTCAACAAGACTACCCCTAAATTATCACAGAAAAAAAAAAAAAAAAAGTACACCCTACCCAGATAACTTCAACAAGACTACCCCTAAATTATCACAGAAAAAAAAAAAAAAAAAGTACACCCTACCCAGATAACTTCAACAAGACTACCCCTAAATTATCACAGAAAAAAAAAAAAAAAAAGTACAACCTACCCAGATAACTTCAACAAGACTACCACTAAATTATCACAGAAAAAAAAAAACAACAACAACAACAACATGTGTATACTCCACAGCAATCATCCACTCATATTTCTTGGAAAAACAACCAAAAGAGAATGATACTGTTATTTTAAGGGCAAGCAGAGATTCTAAATTCTAAAATTCTCTTTTCGGCACGTAAAAATTTTCCAAGCTAGTGGACATAACTGAATTTGATTGGGTCGTTATCTTACCAACAAAAGACACTCATAATCTTGTTAACAGAATTAAGGCTTAGCAGATAGAAGATGGTAAATTTGAACATATTCTTTTCTAGATTATATAGACAATAATTCCTGATTTCAAATGAAGATTATCAGTTCCAGAAGGAAGTTTAAGAAAGATTTGAAGAGATAATTACAACCTGAATAAGACCATCTTCCAAGAGTGATCTTTCATCCTCCAAAGTACCCATTTCTCCACCAGAGTCTAATCCTCTCTGTAACTCTTAAGTCTGTACTCCAAAACAAAACGAGTGAAAATAATAAAAATTACATGTAAAAAAATTATCACATGACACAAACGATGGTTCTTTATAAGCAAGGCCAAGGAAATAGTACAAAAGCGCACCAAAACACCAATGAGACCGCAAACATGAGGTCAAAACAAGGAAAAATAAAATAAATTAAAAAAATGAGATTTTTTTGTTCTCCCTTAACGGCAATTTATATGATAGGGCAGGCTATTTGGTCCTACCGTAAGTAGGATTTTAAGAAGCGTCGACATAATCTAGCGGTTGAGAAGGCCATAGCGTTTCTTTATGCTATTTCGGCCCATTACTTATCAAAGTCACGCTTGTCTTTTTCATGGGCTCCTTACTCAATTTTTTAACAGTAGAGTTTAAATATAACAAAATTTTTAAAATATTATAAAATAGTAAAATTTTAATATCATTAGAATAATAACTGTATCTTATATTTTATAAAATAGTAAAATTTTAATATCATTAGAATAATAACTATATCTTATATAGCATAAAATGTAGCATCATTATAGTAATGATTATGTGATTTTTGTTATATTTATAATATTCTGAAAATTTTGCTAAATTTCAAATCAAATTAAAAAAAATTGTGTAGTGTGGTGTAATTATCATTTTGTTTTTGCACTCCAGTTCTTTGATTTCATTATTTATCATTTCTTGACTTCATCTGTGCTTCCAACAAAATAAAGAGCACAAAAAATTCCCAACATTCACTCCACCGTAAAAAAATTGAATTTAAATTTTTATTAAAAAAATATTGTAATAATAAGACTTAAGTTATGAAAAGTTGTGAAATAAATAAGACCTAAAAAAAAGAGCTCTTGTAATATTGTCAGCAAGCCTGCCTGTTACATTTTCTTCACTCTTCATGACTTCATCTTTAAAACTTATTTAGTTCGTTGATTCGAATTGTTAATTCGAGTTGAAATATAATTTTATGGGATAACTTTTTACTGTATTAAAAACGTTAGATGTGACTGTTTCTGAGAGCTTTTTATTATAGTAAAATTTAAATTCTAAACTTAAATCAGTTAAATGAATGAGGTCTAAATTACGAATCATAAATACATTAAGTTACATTAAAAATCAATATATATATTTAGCTTTTTGGCCTCTAATAGTTATAAAACATAACAGGAGAATTATTGAACGTGACATTCACGTTAAAAAAAAAAAAAAAAAAAACAACTAACATATTCAAATTAAAAAGATCCAATTATCAAGAGCACAATCTTCTCATATACACTAAAATTACTATTCGATCTCATCACATTCCACGCGAAGCTCCAATTTGTGCAAATCCCAACCCAAACATCAATTTAACCCAACAAAACAAATGGCTTAATCAAGCGTGAGTTTTTCTTTTCTTTTTTTTTTTAAAATTATCCACCAAAAAAGTAGAATAATTTTTTCCCCTTTCGCTTTCTTTTGTCTTAATAACGTGTTACACCTTTCTGATATAAAAAAAAATAAATAAATAAAAGATGCGTTTAAAATTTATTTTAAAATAATTTTATTTTTTATATAAAAATAAAAATAAAAACGTTTTTAATTTTAGACATAAATTATTTTTAAAAATATATTTATTAATTTTATTTAGAGATTATTTTTAATATAAAAAAATTAAAACTGTGTTTAATTTTACATTTTTAAAAATATGTAATAATATTTATATATTATTAATTAATTTATATATAAGAACATAATGATTAGCATTAGCAATAAAATACTTCTCGTCAACTACAAATCAGTATTTAGTTTTTTAAATTACATTACAAATAAATAAATCAAATCCTTTATTCACATTTCACACCACTCAAAAAAAAAAAAAAAAAAAAAAAACTCCAGCAAGGGAAAGATATATAACCAAAGAATCAACTTTAAGCTAGCATATATAAACTTGAAATCGAGCAAAAGCACTGATCTAATAATCAGCTTTTATTTGAATCACTAACCGCAGATTTAACAGGGAGAGGATCAAGAGTGATGGAGAAAAGATAAATCTTTACAATCTCTGAGAAAGCAGCGTCTCTAAGCCCAGGAATATCACTGACCAAATTCTCGTAAGCAGCCTCAAATGTCTCCTGCCAAAACTGAGGCATTGGAGACCAGAGAAATCAGAGAGAAGAGAACAGAGAAAGGAGAGACCGGCGAAATCAAAGAGATAAGAGAACGGAGAAGAGGTGAAGGAAAGAAAATAGCTCAGGAGAAAATGAAAATGGAGAAACGGGGAGAGAAGAGAACGGAGGAGAGAAGAGCGAAGGAAAGGAAAATAACTAAGAGAAAATGAAAACAGAGAAAAGAAAAACGACTCTAGTTCGTTTTTAGAAATGTCTCAAATTTTGGGAGAAAGATAAAAACGTTTTCGTTTTTGATTTCTATGCGTTGCTTCTCAAACACGATTCTCACACCATTTTCATTTTTTCTTATCGAAAAATGTAAAAAGCGTCTTTCAAAACGGACGCGCCCAAAATGAAAATAAAAATATTTTTAATTTCAGAGAAAAATTATTTTTGATAATATGTTTAGTATTTTATTAAGAGATTATTTTCAGTATAAAAAAATTTATTAATATCTTTTTCTGTGCTCGAGAGAGAAAAAAACGGAAATAAAAAATAAAAAACGACTAAAAGTCATTTTTCATTTTTCTCCAATTTTACATTAAATCAAAAAATTATTTTTATTTCTATTTTTTTATCTTTAATTGTGTCAAACTTCGTTTCTCTCTTATTTTTATTTTTTTTTTCTCAAAAACATAAAAAATAAAAATAAAACCAACTCCAAACATAGCCCAAATTTTCTTCCCTACTCAGCATGATCTTCATGGCTGACGTCATCCTCGAATGTATAGGAAAGATGCCTGAGGCTTTACTTCATCGTCTCCAGAATCTTCAGGTCGATCTCGGTTCTGGTGGTGATGCTCAACAAGGAAGGTGGGTGCCTGATGAGGCTTTAGGGGGTGGTGGTGATCGCCGACGGCGGCGATTATTGGCTTTAGAAAATTCTATTTGCAAGTGTTCTCAGTCTTTTATTTTGTTAAAATTTTCTTTAAAAAAAAATTAGTTATTTTTGGAGCTAAGAAAACTACCGTACAAGCTAGAGCACTGTACCAACAATAAGACTTAAGGGTTGTTTAGTTGGGGTGGATTCGTACCCTGATTTAAATCATGGTTCATGATTCGTTACATAATTTTTTTCATAAAAAATACACATAAATCGAGAATGATTCTGAATCTATCCACCAAACATCTACTTACCACGTTGGTAGGGGCGGAGCCATTTGAGGGCCATGTCCCCCGGGCCCAAGTGGCCATTTCAAACTTTGCCTCCTTTTTTTTTTCTTTTTTTTTTTTTTTAAGTTGCAAACCTCCCCTTAAAATTTTATGATTACAGTTTTTACATCTATTTTTAAAATATTTTCATTTCACTCCCAAATTTTTTTAGAGAACCCAAATTATAAATGAAAATAGAGAAAAGAAAAACGACTCTAGTTCGTTTTTAGAAATGTCTCAAATTTTGGGAGAAAGATAAAAACGTTTTCGTTTTTTATTTCTATGCGTTGCTTCTCAAACACGATTCTCACACCATTTTCATTTTTTCTTATCGAAAATGTAAAAAGCGTCTTTCAAAACGGACGCGCCCAAAATGAAAATAAAAATATTTTTAATTTCAGATAAAAATTATTTTTGATAATATGTTTAGTATTTTATTAAGAGATTATTTTCAGTATAAAAAAATTTATTAATATCTTTCTCTGTGTTTGAGAGAGAAGAAAACGGAAATAAAAAATAAAAAACGACTAAAAATCATTTTTTATTTTTTTTTAATTTTATACTAAATTAAAAAATTATTTTTATTTTTATTTTTTTATCTTTAATTGTATCAAACTTCGTTTCTCTCTTATTTTTATTTTTTTTTCTCAAAAACATAAAAAATAAAAATAAAACCAACTCCAAACATAGCCCAAATTTTCTTCCCTACTCAGCATGATCTTCATGGCTGACGTCATCCTCGAATATATAGGAAAGATGCCTGAGGCTTTACTTCATCGTCTCCAGAATCTTCAGGTCGATCTCGGTTCTGGTGGTGACGCTCAACAAGGAAGGTGGGTGCCTGATGAGGCTTTAGGGGGTGGTGGTGATCGCCGACGGCGGCGATTATTGGCTTTAGAAAATTCTATTTGCAAGTGTTCTCAGTCTTTTATTTTGTTAAAATTTTCTTTAAAAAAAAATTAGTTATTTTTGGAGCTAAGAAAACTACCGTACAAGCTAGAGCATTGTACCAACAATAAGACTTAAGGATTGTTTAGTTGGGGTGGATTCGTACCCTGATTTAAATCATGGTTCATGATTCGTTACATAATTTTTTCCATAAAAAATACACATAAATCAAAAATGATTCTGAATCTATCAACCAAACATCTACTTACCACGTTGGTAGGGGCGGAGCCATTTGAGGCCCATGTCTCCCGGGCCCAAGTGGCCATTTCAAACTTTGCCTCCTTTTTTTTTTTTTTTCTTTCTTCAAGTTGCAAACCTCCCCTTAAAATTTTATGATTACAGTTTTTACATCTATTTTTAAAATATTTTCAATCATCTCCCAAATTTTTTTAGAGAACCCAAATTATGATTTTATGTATATTTATATTTATAAAATTTTTTAAATATTTAGATTATACCATAAATTTTGGCCTTTAATACACTAATAATTTAAACTTATAAATCCCAATTGAAGCAAAAAATAACTATCCTGCTGTATAATTTCTGATAATTTTTAGACTTTAAACTTAGAAAGTGAATTAAAACTATTAGGGATTTGAATCGTTTGACAAAAGAAATAAAAGCAATATATATATATATATATATATATATATAATTAGACAGTTATTTTCTTTTAAAATTTTGGTTAATCCACGCCCCCGAAAAAAGTTTCTAACTCCGCCACTGACTGTTAAATTATGAAGTCAAAAGCCATTTTACTAACCCTATCAGTACGACTAAAATACCTACCCTACCATATAAATTGCCAAATTGTTATAATACGTCATAATAAAATGTGAGTATAATAATACGTCACAGTTTGTCTTTGGTTCTTCGCAAGAAATGACCCTATCAGTACGGCTAAAATGCCTGCTCTACCATATAAATTGCCAAATTGTTATAATACGTCATAATAAAATGTGAGTATAATACAACACGGTTTGTCTTCGGTTCTTCGCAAGAAATGATCCTACAGTAGCCTAAAATTTTCAACAATGAAAGTCAATTTAGAGGATTGCATTGTCCAGTTCCTTATAGCTCAAGTTTTGAAGGGACAAAGGAACATGGTTTTATAATTATTGACATTGTCATCTAGAAGGCTAGTACAATGAAACACACATTTTCACAAATCGTTAAAGAAAAAAGCTATATACACTTTGGATTTCACACACTTAACCTTCTTCAACTTCTTAGGTTTATTGTTCTCAGAATCAATACCTCCTTTGGATAACCTCAAGAGCCCTTTTTAGGTTTGAACTTGTTGGCACAGAATATGTAAACCAACAGATTGAGGAAGCTAAGACCTGCCAAAAGCCAAAAGTAATAATCAAGATGACCTTCATTCAGATTATCAGTTATCCATCCACTCTTGCCAGCATTTCTTGTGAAGTAAGTTACTACTATAAGAATAAAGGAGCTCAGATAGTATCCTAATGATGAGCTTAAAAGTAATAACGCACTACATAAACTTCTCATGGAATTTGGAGACTCTTCATAGAACAACTCCAACTGCGCAATGTAGAATAACATCTCTGTGATGCCCACTAATAAGTATTGGGGCATTTGCCAGAAGATACTGAGTGGTACAGCTACTGTTTTGTCAACTAAATCAAGCTCTCGAGCAAGCCGCAGTCGATTCACTTCCACGATAGCAGCCACCGACATGCACAGAACAAGAAAAAAGAGGCCAATTCCCATCCTTTGCAATGCCGAAAGGCCTTTTTCCTTGCCTGTAAATCTTCTAACAATTGGGATAATCACTCTATCATATATGGGAACCAAGCAAAGAATAACGATGGTGTCCAGACTTGCGAAAGACGCTACAGGAACAGAGAAAGAACCTATTGTAGTGTCCATCATCATTCCTTGTTCCACAAACATTGTGGAAAGTTGAGCATAAACTGCGCCCACAGGTATTCCAGTAGCCAATATCGGAAGCAAACGGACTAAAGTCTTTAGCTCTTCCACTTGGTTTACAGTGCAAAGCCTCCAAGGATTGGAGAAGTCCCCATTACGAATCTCAGCATCAGAAATGACAGCGGCTTTGTCAAGGAACCTGCGACAAAAGTGGAGATCATTGAAATTTAAAGGTGTAAAATACCTTTAGAAAGGTTATATTATGGCATGTTAAGTTTTGAAACCTACTGATTCAAACAAAGTTTTGCTTCCTTCTGGTGAAACTAATTTATCATAATTTAAAGGATACATAATTTAAGATATCCCTTTAGATTGTCTGTTGCTTTCAATTGCAATAAGCAATTGTATAAATTTTCCTGATAACTTCATGATTTTACTAATTATTTGGAAGTTGCATAAGATTATAGGCAGCTACTTACTTCAGTGTATCACTGTGGACTGATAGAGAGCTTCCTTCGACGGTAGAACTTCTGTCTTGTGTTCCATACAAGAGACTAATGTCAGTAGGCACCTCCAGATTCCACTTACGGCAAGACGCCACCAAAACTTGGCAAATTCTTGTAATAGGGCTTCCCCGCGGTCTCTGAAATCTGTACAGGGGTGTGCCAGAAAGGAAAACAACCATAGCAATGCCCATAAAGAATGCAGGAACTCCAAATCCTAAACCCCATCCAACATTGTCTTGAATCCACACCACAAAAGTACTTGATATAAGAGCGCCGCTGCAAATTGTAAAAAAATACCAGTTAAAGAATGATGCCTTCTTCACCCTCTCCTTCGAATCAGCATCATCAAACTGATCCGCACCAAACGGTGAAACACATGGTTTGATCCCACCAGTCCCTAGTGCAACCAGATAAAGTGAAAAAAATAATACTGCAGATTGTGCAACAGTACTTGATGAACACACAGAACCAAAACATTCCGCCGGCCTCAAAGCCGGAACTGATACTGAGAGAGCCAAAACACACATTCCCTGCACAACACAACAATCAACAAATCATTATATTATTAAATCTTTATTTTTAGTTGTGCCCATTAACATTTTTAATTTCTTAATTTCCTTATGGTTTCCTACAAGCTCACCTAAATAGTTCAATGGTCATGCACTTAGGATTCTTTAAAATAAAAAATGCCATGGTGAGAGGACAATGTCTCAACGGCACTAAATGATGTTCTTATTTGTATCCAAACGAATAAAAATGGGGATTTCTTTAGTGGTTACTATCACATAGATCGCGGAGGAAACTGCGATGGTCCAATATCTTCCCCAGTATGCATCTGCCAATATGGCTCCAATGATGGGAACAAGATAGCAGGTGCCTTGCCAAATGCTTATATTTCTTGCTGCAGAGGCATTTCCTTCATGCAGTTTCTTTGTAAGATATGTGACTAGATTAAGGGAGATCCCATAGTAAGTCAAGCGTTCACAAGTTTCGGTGCCTGCATTACGCATCGCATTGAGTGAGCTAAACACATTTTCATACTGAAAACCAGTAACCAACATAGGAAAACAATAAAGCACCTAGAATGAAGAAGCATGCTTTCCAGTTTCCAGTATTATTCTTCAGCACAGGCTCCCCATTGATGTCAACTGAGCCGTCGCCAGTGTAAAGTCCGCAGCCTTCAGTCTAAATATTACAGATACATATGACACCGCGTAAATCATATGATACAATATCAAAATCAACAATCAATAAGAATAAAAACTATATTCCGCAGAAAAAATCTTATGGGTTACTGTAATATTCAAAATGTGTGGATCCAAGCAAATTCCCCTAGATTCCAAGAAGTTGAATCTAATATTTTTATAGATGGCCCTTAACTCTCAACAAATCTTACAATACTCAGAGCCACACGAGGGATTCATAGAAGATCAAATTAATAAAAGAAAAATATTCGTTTACACCGTATTTTAACTTCAACAAATTTATTGCAATACTCGGTTAAATTTATTGCAATAAAACTCAATCCAAATTATCCAAAATTCTCAAACCAAACAAATTCGCTTCTAATGGGCAATGTTTCAATTACAAACTGATGTGGGTCTTGATCTTACTGACATAAAATTAATCAATGCCCAAGTTATTTTCTGTTCTTAAGTAAACACTACCAATTCTTGCCTTAGTAATCAAGCAAACTTAGAATGATAACAAGAATGTCGAAGTAAAAACCTGAAGAAGACCATCTTCCAAAAGCGATTTTTCATCCTCCAAAGTCCCCATTTCTTCCACGCAGTCTCTGTTTTTGTGAGGTGGGAACTATTTACAATTTTCCGTTGGAGGAAAGGAAGGAAAAGACATGAAAGTCAAAATACAAAGACAACAGAAGTGAGTTTTTTCTTTTCTTTTCTTTTTTTTGTGGTGGTTGGGGAAGTACTTCTCCACGTTCGAATCTCCGATTAGCATTGATAAGCTGAAAGATTCCTTATCTCTGCACCTTTCTGCCAGTAAAATATCTCCATCAACTACTCTCTCTAATAATAATCACTAACTATTACCAATGTCGATATATATTCTTTAATTTATATACTATAAATTGTTGAATTATTGATACAAATTTGAACTAATAGTAGTTGGTGAACAAAAACAGTAACAAAAATACAAACATGAGCGTATCATATATTCGAGTTTATCTTTAAAATATGTTACGCAACAATTATTTTTTTGCTACTCGCGCAACAATTATTTGGAAATATAATGATATTCTATAAGAGTGGCAAAAAATGTAACAAGATGTATATGTTCGATGATCAAGGTGACCTATTAAAAAAGGAACCCACGTAAAAATCATATGTTATTTTAGTGGTGTGAATATTTCATTCTTCATTGTTTATGGTATACCATGTAAGTAGGCATCGTTTGTTTCACTAGTATAGTTCAGTTCAACTTAATTTGAACAGTAAGTACAGTTTGAATTAGTGTTTGGTAAACATGTAGTTTGAATTATATTCTCTGTTTGAATTGAGTTAAATAATCCAACTTAGAATTTACTTCTCTCCTCAAGTTCAACCGTTCAAACTATTTTTAAACAGTAAAAATGTGTCTACTCTCTCAGCTTTTCACACCTATTAAACACAAATTTAAATTTTATTCATTGTTTAGATTAGAACTTTAACTGCACATCCAAACGACAATTCAAACTATAATTTAAACCACATAGTTTAAATTTTTTTGTTCAAATCAATAAAATTCAAACTAGCGAACCAAACATCATCTAAAGCTAGGATTTTACAGACAACATATTGTGTGTAATCTTTCTCATTGTTTTTGCTTCAGATATACAATAGTTGATCAATATATTGATGAAACGTATTCATTGAAGGTGAACGCACAACAGAAAGTATGGGCGCATGGTAATCGAGTGGGGGCGGGGGTGGGGAATGATTTCCCGTCCCCATTCCCAACCCCTAAAACCATCTCTTTGCTTAAAAGAGAGACATGGGTGGGGTCAGGATCCTCCGTTAGATAACCTTATGCTCCATTTCTCACCTAGTGTAACAATTCATTTAAAAATTGTAGCAGTTTAAACAAAAAAAAAAGTAAAAATTCACTTTAAATTTAAACCAAATTCAAAGGTTGCAAAAAACAAACCAAATTTTGAATATATGCACACCAAATCTTAGTAATAAAGTTGCAAAGGACTAAGGCGATGAGTGCTTTCTCCGTCCCCGCTCATAAAATATGTATCAGAAACTTTATGTTTTGCATACTTTTTCAATTTGATGTGATTTTAATCAAATACAACGATTAGAAATATACCGTACCAGTAAATCAACTTACCAAAAATGATCCCCTAAACAAAAAGCTTTTAAAAGTTATATCTTTCGATCATTCTGTATTAGCTATTAGGTTACATAATTTAAGAGTATTTATGAAATAATTCTCAGTAAGTTCAATAAAGTAACTTGTTTCACAATACCATGAGCTGGTTTTACAAGAAATTGAAAACTTACCATGTTTCTCTTTTATGAAAAGGAAGATAAAAATCTATTTATTGTATTTTAGAAAAATATTATTTATTTATTTATTTATTATTTGAGAGTTTTTCTGGTAGAACTGAAAAAAGACTTTCAATAGTACTCTGTTTTTCAACTTTCAGGTTTATATCAAAAATTATTTATTTTTTATATTTTTTTAATATAATGTGATTTTGATCAGATCTAATGATTAAAAATTAATCTTAATAGTAGACCGGCTAATTACCGGAGAAAGTTCCATTTCTCTCCAAGTGAATTGTGGAAAAGGTTATAGAAACGAAAAGAAGGGCTACAAATGGCATGCATGCCGCATATTATAGAATTTTTTTTTTGATTCTTCAATAATGAATTGTACGCCAATTATAAGACTTTTGTTTTTCTCCTTTTTAGAGACTTTCTGTGGTATGGTCTTTCACTCTTTCTACTAGTAGAGTCAGTTCTAACTATCAAATTTAATCCAAACCATACCAAATTAAAAAATTACGTATAATAAAGGGTTTTTGCTACAATTTAACGGATGAAAGTAGAAAATTACTGATAGTTATTTTTTCTAATCTTATCATAAAAACACACTTGTTGAAAACATTGAATGCCAAAAGATGTTGTTGCCAGCATTTAGATAATCAAAGGAAAGAGGAATAAATAATCTATAATCGTAGAACTCTAGCAGAAAAGAGAAAAAGAAAAAAGAGGGATACTCTGATACGTCGGTTTACCGGTAGTTTAAATTTTTTTAACCGTTAAATATGCGTATTTTTTATTTTTTACGTAATTTTATATAAATATAACGGTTAGAAAACACAACCTATCGATATATTAATGTATTAGAGAAAGTCTTAAAAAAAAGGAACAAAAAAAAAAAGCAGGTACGAGTTTCCTCTTCCGCGTTCACATACAAAAATTCTTTTGGTTAGCATTTCTATAGTCTCTACCGTGAATTTTAACAACAACGTCAAAAGGACGGTACTGGATTCCCGCGTTTATTTTTGCTTTTTGTTAGTAAATTTCCTTTATCTCTGCTTTGCTAATTGCTACATGATTCGTTTATGGAAAGTATTTATTGAATTCCATAAAGCAAATGGCATCGTAAGCATCATTGCATCATCTCTTGCGCTAATTAGTATACGAGTAATTAGATTTTTTTTCCCTCAAATTTAACAGTAGCTTAAAAAAAATATCCCGACTTTTTGCTTGTATTATTATTTATTACAAAATATAAATGTTTGCCTAGAAGACAATTTTAAGCAAATAAATATATTCCCATTGCAATCTTAATTATAGATCGTAGTAAAATAATAAGAAAATAATACGCAAACAACACAAAATAATAATTTATTGTTCCATAAAAGATAACAATTTATTGTAAATATAGTAGTTAAAAGATATAGAATTTTAGAATCAGATTAAAGATCATAATTCATTAGTTTCTCCGGTCTTTCTTATACTTTTCGGAACACTTTCTTATAGTCGTCAGATTGAAATCGTGCGGCACTGATTAGAATAAAGTACATGCCCTATGAGACATAGAATTAGCACAATATTTATTCCAATAATAGTGTTAATTGTTGTAGGACCAACAGTACAAAATTTGAAAATTTTCTTTATCTGACAACCATCCTCACCCGTTCACCATTTCCCTCTGTTGTAGAGATGTCAAAAGGGCCGTGCCGGGCCGACACGACCCTTCTCACCCCAGGCCCGTGGCGGGCCTGGGCCCCTCAGGCCCAATACTAGCCCTCGACCCTAGTCCATAAGGGTCAGGGCTGGGCCCGGGGCCTTCACGGGCCAACCCTGGCCCTTTTAATTTTTTTTTCAATATTTAATTAAAAAAAAAGAAAAAATATCATATGTCCCCAAAAGATGTGATTTTATTGAATTGAGATAATACAAATAAGTACACATAAATGACTGACTCGTTAAAAATCTTGTCAAGTAAACCTCGTGGGGAGATCGGGACAAAATATTAGCGAAGGAAAAAAGAGTGCAGTATTCTAGGATAAGTAAATTACAAAACTTAAGTGTTTCGAAAAGATTCTGTTATGTCTAAACTCAATCTTAACTTAATTTTCTTAATACACTTGAGTTTCACTTATGATTAACAATTTTTTTTAGGATTTTTTTTTAATTTCAAATTTGATGACAAAAAAAAATATATCATATGCCCTAAAAACATGTGATTTTATTGAATTAATATGAATAATTACAAAAAAAATGACTGGTTGACCGGACGACATAGGTCAGCCAATTGGCCCTAAAATGCCTCAAACCTCATTAAAATTTTATGTCGCGGGCTTGACCCTTTGCGTGCCTGGGTCGTGCCTAGGCTGCAGGCCTCAAACATGAGGCCCAGCCCAAATCCTTCTGGCGTGCTGGGCCGGCTCGGCCTATAACAGTACAGGGCCGGGCCATGCCGAATTGACTTTTGTAGCGTGGACGGCCCAACCCAATTGACACCTCTACTCTGTTGAACCAAGAACAAAACTTTCAGTATATTTCAAATTCATTCGTTTATAAGGTTTTTTTTCGTCTTTTTTCTTTCTGAGAGAGTTGGTGCATTTAGAATTAGTTTTAAAATAATTTTATTTTTAATAAAAAGTAAAAATAAGATTATTTTAAAAATTATTTTTAGATTGATTCTAAAATTATATTTAGTTAATTTTTTAAGAAATTATTTTAAATATAATAAAAAAATCGTATTTATTAATTAATATATTATAATATTATTAATAACTATTAAAAAATAAAAACAAAAAAATAAAAATATTTTTTAATAATTTTTTAATTTTTTTACAAAAATTATTCTCCTAATTTTTATTTTTATTTTTATTTTTAAAATATTTACTAAATAAACTTTATTTTATTTTTATTTTTATTTTTTACTTTTCAAAATACATAAAAATTGTTTTTAAAAACGGTTCTATACATGCAATTGTTTTTTTTTTCCGTCTGGCATCACCCCCCCCGGGCGAGCCAGTTTTGTCATGAGCCTCCCAGATCCGCGACGGCAAGGCCATCTCCCCACCCCAGCAAAAGTGCATTTTAGATGAAACAAGAAAACCCAGATTCATACTGAGAAGAGACTCCCAAACTCTTTAAAAAAATAATAATAAATAAATAAAGAAAGAGACTAAAAAAAAGAAAGAGACTGAAAAAAAAGAAAAAAGTAAAAAAACTGCTGCTCTTTAATGGGTATTTTAGTAAGCACAGGTTATGGAAGGAATTGTGGGTGGATATTGGTTCTTGTAATCTTGTTGCCGTCGGAGGAGGACAAATTTTGGAGATTTCAATTCATTTGTACAAACACTGCTGTGCTTTTGGAAGTTGGTGGTCAAGACTCTCCTGTGGGAATTTTTTCAGCCCATGAGTTTGAAAGTTGTCAGAGAGAAGATACAGGAACACAAATTTCGGGCCCCACGATTAGCGAGAGAAAAAAGGCCCCACAAAACAACCAAATCAGCCCATGACTACTTTCGCT